GATAAAACATTTTCTCTGGTCTTCATTTCTTTGCCTTAAGCAGCCTTATTCCTTCCTGTCTTCTCTCTACAGAAGGAGGGCGGGTCACAGAGGAGTGGGGGTGCTTCCTCAGACAAAGTTAAAACTGCTTTTACTTTAATCAAACTTGGCTACTTAGCTACTTATTGTGCTCTCCAAATCACAGTAAGTCAGAAATCAGGACATTCAACTAACAAGAATGCTTATTAGTATGAATACTGATGGTTTCAAGATATTTTAAATGTTGGCCCTTTCAGGTTTGGAAAGAAATGAAATACAAATCTTTGTAAAAATGCAGCTTGCGAGTTTAGAAGGAGCTAAAATGATAGTTTATGCATGGATACTAAGAACGATTGTGTCTTAGCTAGCTTGTTTAAAGTATTATTTAGATAAATCCAGTTTTTCTGAACCTGGCAATCTACAAATATTTTGAATTATAATTTCATAATTCCCAGACAGCAAAACTGAAGATACATTTAACACATCTGGAGGACACTATCTGGCACAGAGACAATTTAACCTACTATTCTCATCAATCTGGCCATCAAAAAAATTATAAACCTAAATATCAGCAATATAGTCAACTGTCCCCCACCTTTGCGATTACTATCCTGGGGATTGAGCATCATGTGATTTGGGTGGGTTAAGTTTGCAGAAGTGACCTTTTTAATACAAAAAATAAAATGTGGTATTAAAATCTAAGGATCATTCAACTTATTTTTATTTGGACAAGTCTAGGTAGTTTGAGTGGCCTCCACTCATGAAGTAGGTAAGCCTTGACAATGGGGCTGGCCAAAACAAGATAAATACAGCACCATGTGCATTCTTGTAACCAACTTCCAATGGTTAAGGACACCTGTTTACCTTATGAAATGTGTCCCCCTTATTGACTGGTCTTTCTGTTGGCCCAACATACTATGAAGTAACCCTTTCCCCATGAATTGCTCTCTTGGCTGTATCAGCCTTTTAATGATGCCTCTCACATTCCTCACTTACCCCATAAGCAAATAGATGAGGATGGTGATGGAGAGCAGAACTCCACGCTGGGTTGAGTGGCGACACAGGAATAAAACCAGGTAGCACAAGAGGCTGAGGAGCACAACCCACACCATCTGCAGCTGAAAAAAGTGGTAGAGGGCATAGAAGCCACTAGCGATGGTGCTCAGGTGCTTAACATAGGATGGTAGAGCTGAAAAAGAAGAGGTGGGCAGCTCAGATGAGAAAAAGAGAAGCTCACCATGGCTGGCTTCACCCAACACACCTAGCCATAATATGGAGTGTCTGTGTGTGAATATTAGCGTATGATCTCAGTTGCTGATGTTTGTGAACCAAAGCTTATTGCAGGGAATGGCAATTTCTCCAGGGTTGGAGGCTTCCCCAACCACCTGGACACCACTGAAGGTTTTCTCATAGTAACAAAATGCTGTCACCGGAAAGATCCATTCATCTCTTTTTATGCTGTTTTGGGAAGGGTGGGTAGTGGAGGTGGTGGTGTTTGAAAGCAAGTAACTCAGAGTTCCACCCTTAAATAATCCCTCAGATCTTTAAAAAAATGTTTCCCGATTATGCTGCTGAAATTTCAAGATATATGGGGAATTAAAAGTGGAAAGGGAAGTATTTTGTCTCCCTGAGTCCTCCAGTCATTCCCACTCCTACTGGGAGGGACGGTGGTAAAAAAACCAGTAGTGGGAAATCAATATGACAGGGATTGGGAGGGAGGAACAAGCTGTACACCACAGTTTATCACAGAATGTGTTATGTGAACCCAGTCAATTATATCTTACTCAATAAACCATCATTTGTTGTGACATATAGAACTTCCAGAGAGTGTGGACTTTACGCCAAGCATATGAGGTCATAGCCTTTTCTTCCCCACTCACTCTCTTATTCTCATGTTAATCTTATCAAGAACCTCTTCAGCCATGATGGATTGTGGGAAAGCAACCATAATTTTACAGCAGAAGGCAAGGCAGGCTGAGGGAATAAATTGGAACTTGACCACTGTCTCAATTCTCTAGAGGCATTTCTGAAGCATTGCAAATGCTAATTTTTGTTTTGATTATTTCCTTCATATTATCTACAACATATAGTACAAGGACTGCAACAGCTACTATGTAAGACAGGCAGGCAGAAAGTAGCAGGATGCCTCCCCAAATACTAATAGTCAGAAAACATGACTAAAACTCCTGAAAAACTATCAGCCTTTTTGAACAAGTCAACTCCAAAAAATGTTAGGGAATTCTTGGAAGCTTGGCATTCAGATAAATCAACCATCAATAAACACACCAAGATAAATCAAATTTACATACCATTCAAAAAGGACAATAAAAAAATAAGGAGGAAGCAAAAAAGGCTGGAACATATCCACTCTAGCAACCAACATTCAGATAAACAGGGATCAACACTAGACAAACAATAAAAAATACCCTAATCAATGAACCGCCAAAAAGAAAACTACATACCCCTGCAGAGCAAACTATTCTATATAAACAGGCTGCAGTCCCCACACTTATTCACACTGATGATGTTATCTAGTTGGATAATGAAATGTTTGCAAGCAAACACTGAGCTGGAAACTAGCTAAATCAATTTTATCTCACATGTATGCAAACGGAGCCCCTACTTACATAACCTCCATAGGAGACGGCAAGCTAGACACAAGAGCAGCAGAGTCCAAACCTGTTCAAAACCCTGCTGAGCAGTTGGCAGCACACAACTACTCAACAGCTGCTGGTAAAACTCTTCCCGTGTAAAGGTAGCCATGGCCCCAACCTGGAAAGACAAAGAAAGAGATGTGGGGCAAACCCCATAAAGTTAGCTCTGGAGGAAAGTCAAGATTCTTCTGAAACATATATAAACCCAAAGAATAAAAAGTCTGGAATAAGATACACCAAGTCCTGTTCTTAAACTGGGATAATTGTAGTTGAAAGAACCTCCCTCTACTAGGAGAATGATTGAAGTTTCAGGACATGCTTACACAAAGATAAAAAGGGTTGTCTATAGAATGCTTATTTGTGTTTTATTTAACCATAAGTTTATTAAAGCCAACTTTCTGGGGCTCATACAGCACACTGAATAATACATCAATCAACCACACAAGCTGGATTGATAAAACATACTACCTACAGCAGGGTTATGCTATTTGTGGTTCAATGCAAGGGTTAGTTAGGCATGCCAAAGCCAGCCAGTCAACAGGTCTAGAACCCCTTGACATAGAACCCATGTAATCATGTACATCGTATAATACATATTATATATTTATATGTCCTACATTTGTAGGTCCTATTCAAGTCAAAAATTGATTTCCCCCACAACTGAAAAATAGGCCAGGGATGGGGAACCTTTTATGGCTCGCTCAGGAATTCTGGGAGTTGAAGTCCAGAAATGATAAAAGAGCCAAGTTTCCCTACCCCTGATATAGGGTAACTACAGCAGCAAGATTGTGTTTCTTATTCTTAACACTATGGTTTGTTCAATCAGTCTCATTTTGTACACAACACATGCTGAACCATTAACTATGCAAGCTGAAATCACAGAATACAATGAATTAAAATGTGATTTGTAAGTTTATGGTATTGTAGTGATACAGTCCAGTGGTGGGATTCAAATATTGTTGCCACCAGTTCAGTGGGCGTGGTTTGGTGGGCACGCTTTGCACGCGTGCACACACTTTGCATGCACACACGTGCCAAACATGCACTTTGCACAGGTGCAGAGGCATTTGCGCTGGCACAGAGGAGTTCTAACTCGCCTCCTGCAAGCCTGCACAATCCTGGTCGCTTCAGCAGCTGCCACGCAGCACTATTCTGTGTCCTGCAAAGCAGCTGCACTTCAAATTCAGCAGATAAAGGTGAGTTGGGTGGGGCCAACAGCAGAGTGGTGGAGAGAATCGATTCAGTCTCCTACTGGCTCGCCAGAACCAGTCGAATACCACCACTGATACAGTCCATCCTTGCTCCCCAAGTTCTCTGAAGGAAGAGACACGGGTATAAATCTACTAAATAAATCCACAAATATTACTGTATGGAAGTAAATTCTGCTAAACCCCACAGAATTTGACTATTTTTGCAGTACAGCTGAGCCAACTAAAGCTTCCCACATTAATGCAAACTCTTCCTCTACCTTGTTACTTGGAACTAATTCTTACTATTTGTAGACCCAGTTTAAGAATAAAAACATATTCCAAAAGAGCTCCTTGGGGAGTGGGAGAGGTGGGGAAGGCAGCATCATTAATCAAAGGACAGTTACCAGTCACACAATAATAGCATAAAAATAGCATAAATTCTGGTTCTACTTCAGTTTTCCAAGGTTGGATTAACACTAAGCCTAGCAACAGATTGGGAGTGGGGTAGAGAAATGGGTGGTGGGAAGTAATACACAGCTGATGAATTGATGAAGCAATACCGAGGAAGACAAGACTGGAATGGCACATTTGCATCAAACCGTGATTTCATCACGATTTGGTCATCCATCGTAATTCCGAGTCACACGATACAGGGAGCCAAGACCAATCAAAGCGTTTCATGGTTGAACATGAAAGCAGGAACCCAGCGGCGTTAACAGGCAGGTCCAGAGACAGGAAATGCGGGAGCACAGAATGGAGGAGGGGAACGTGGCTTTTTAGACAAAAGGATCCGAAAAGGAAAAATCAAAAACGAGCCCCGTCCCGCAACTCTAAGAAACCCTTCGCTTCTCGTTTCTTTTCTTGGCATAATTCCCCCCACAAACACACACCGAAAGCTGATTTTTCTTTCTCGTTGCACACACACACACGGATGCTCGCCCGCTTTCCTAAGAGCGCTATTCTTATAAAAGGGAAAGAGCTAATGATGGGAATCCCACGGAAACGGCGGCCATCGCGTCATATCAGAGGGAGAAAAAGGGAAACCCCTTCCTTCTGGGAAGGCTTTTCCCTTCCCACTACGCTGCATTACGGGAGAGACAACTCGGCGCCCCTTGGCTCGGCTCGGCTTCTCTCTCACCGAACTTGCCTTAATGCCTCTCATCCATCCCAGCACTGGCCCTCCAGCTCCTTTTAGGCCAGCTGCTCCAGGGTATACCTTAAAGAGGCAGGCACGGCGTTACGGCTAACTCACCGATGCGGCGTTATTCGCACCACCTTCTTCCCCCCACCCTCTCCGGAGCTGCGTGGGTACCGATCTTCCCCCTCCCTCTCCCCCCCCCCCCCCCCCCCCCGCCAAAAGCTGGAAAACTGAAAAGGGGGGGGGGAAGCAGGCGGTGGGATCCTGTTTAAAGTTGGAGGTGGGTCGCTTGAAAATACCAATGAGAAGGCTGGAGACAGGATTACTTAAAGCCGCTGAACGGCCAATCGGATGGGAAAGACGGGAGTCAGACGCAAAAGGGCAGCCAATGAGAAAGGGCGGGGCGAGAGAAGAAAGACACTAGTCCGGATCCCCTCTTGAGGAGGGCGAGCCACGTTTGCCTGCCAGGAAAAAGCTTCATTTCTGAAAGGTCGCGAATGCGCGCAAGTCCGTGGAAAGGAAAGCGCGGGAGCGGCTGAGCAAAAAGAGTTACTGTTGACAGGCTTTTAATTTTGAAAACGTTGAAGTTTCAAAACGGAGGAGGAGTGTTGCAGAAGGCGGCCATGTAAGCATCCTCTGGAGCACGGGCTCTCCAACCCTGGCCGCTTTAAGCCTGGTGGACTTCAACTCCCAGAATTCCTCAGCCAGCAAAGCTGAAGTCCACCAGGCTTAAAGCAGCCAAGGTTGGAGAGCCCCTGCTCTGGAGAACGCTTCGATGGTAGCCTTGTTTAAACCACCCAAAATATGGATCAAGTAGTGTTGGGAGGGTTTGCTTAGCGGAGATTGCGTGAGGAAAATGGAGTCAGCTCTTTCAATCGGGTTAAACACAGCGTGCCTCTGTGTTGTTGACAGAGGGTTGTAATAAGTGTCTGGTTCCTAAATGCTTAATAAGAGCATCCTGGTCAGTCATTTTTTAAACGTTTATTCCGCTTTATTCCTAATCCTGCCCCTTTCCTGTTTTACTTGGTGTGCGCACTTATCTATTTTTTTGTGGCACACATTTTCCCTCTATTTCTCTTGACATACCCAGCCCTCGCTTTCACGTAACAATGGTATGGCATACTGATCCATAGACGCCTTTGGTTCTTTAATTTTCATTCTTCATAACAGATTGTTCCGTATTAGCCGGCTTGAAGACCTGTGTTAAGTTCGGAACAAAGGGGAGGCCACACCAGAGCATCACAATAACACACTTTATTCAGGGGGAATAAATGGGGCTGTCGCGTCTGTAAGCTAACAACAGACCTTCCAGCGAACAGCGGCTGGCTCGACCTAGCAGCCGGCTTTTATAGCCGGCTGTCGAAGGGAGCCAGCCAATGGGGGCTGCAAACGCCCCCGCAGTATGAACGGACCTGAGGGGGAACCTGTGTCAGCCCCGAGGACATAACACCCCTTCCCCCTAGATACGAACACGAATAGTCCTTTAAGTAAGCTGGTGGTTTGTGTGAGCGCCCCGACCGGCGCAATTCTGGCGATGCACAAAGTGGCATAGAGTTCTGGGAGTCAGTAACTGGCCTTGCCGGGCAACAGGGTCGATCTGGAGTCCGGACTGGAGTCTGGGAGTGGTTACAGTCCTCGGGTTGGATTGTTAAATTGTCATTGTCACGCAACCCGGTGGTGTCGTCGGCTGGTACGGCTGATGACTCTGTAGGACGGTCCCGGTCTACCGTCCGTTCCCTCGATTCGGCTGGTGGCGACTGGTCACTCTGGAGATCCCAGCTAGGATTCGGGTGCGGCGATTGGAGGGTCACTGAGGTCCCTGGGTCAGCGTCGGTATGTTCGCCCTGGCGACTTCTTATCTGGTCCAGATGCCTCCGCCAGATACGCCCGTCCCCCAACTGGATGCGGTATGATCTTGGCCCGGTGATGGCCACGATCTTCCCAGGTACCCACAGGGGGTCGCCAGCGTAGTTCCTGACAAAAACCTGGTCCTGTAATACAAAACTCCTGACCCTAGTGTTAGAGCCCAATGGTGTGTCTGGGCAATAGTGGGGATGCAGTCTATCCAGCACTGTCCTTAGCCGTCTGCCCATCAGTAATTCGGCTGGGGACTTGTTTGTGACAGTACATGGGGTCGAGTGTTGGCTCAAGAGAAAACGAGAGAGTCTGGAGTGCCAGTCGTCTTGAGTGAATCTTGCCAACGCCTCTTTTGCTGACCTAACGGCTCTCTCCGCCAACCCATTGCTAGCGGGATGGAAAGGGGCCGTTAGGATATGCCGGATGCCCAGATTGGTGGCATACCGGCTGAATTCTGTGGACGTAAATTGGGGCCCATTGTCTGAGACTATGGTATCAGGCAGACCGTGTGTAACGAATAAGCGGGTCAGAGCCTGGGCAATTGCTCGGGTGGTGGTTGTGGGTAGGAGAGCTACATCGATCCATTTGGAGAACGAATCCACGACCACCAGGAAGGTCTTGCCGTGGAATGGCCCGGCCAAGTCAATGTGCAACCGTGACCACGGTGCGTTGGTACTTTCCCATTTGGTTGGGGTGGTGATCGGTGGTGCTGGCCTGGATTGTTGACAGGGGCGGCAGGAGCTTACCCATTTCGTGATCTCGTCGTCCATGCCCGGCCACCAGACGTAACTCTGAGCCAACGCCTTCATCCGGACGATGCCAGGGTGCCCCTTGTGTAACGCCTTCAGGACGGGTGTGCGCAGAGGTTTTGGAATGACAACTCTGGTCCCCCATAACAGGCAGCCCTGTAAACTGGAAAGCTCTTGCTGGCGGGTTTTGAATGGTGAGAATTCAATTGAGAGATTACCGCCCGGCCACCCCCTCCGTACCCAGTCCAGAACCTGGGCGATAAGTTTATCTTTTTTGGAGTGGAGAGCGATGTCGCCAGCGGTGACTGGGATGTCGAACTCACTGGCATCGAAAATGGCATGGACCGGGGCCGGGTCCTCCACGGGTGCTGGCAACGGGCAGCGGCTGAGGGCGTCGGCGTGGCTGAGGTTTTTTCCTGGGCGGTGAACCAGTT